CAAGCTCACACTAACCAAAAGCTAAGGGAGTTGTCGGAAGACATCTGAGGCTCATGGCAGAGATTTTCCCACTTTGCTTTAGCCCACCTATCTAATGTTCCCAACAGAACATTTATGACTTTTCTTTGTTCTGTCACTATAAAAATTATATCACACTGTTACTATATTAGAATACAGAATTTGAGGTAATGTAAATCTGTGTTCCCCAACCATGGTCACTCATATTTGGCATCAGAATAAAAATTACTTTTTCCCAATTGAGATTACAGTTGTGTTTTGTGACATTAAGAGGAGTTATTAAGACGTTAGTAACACCCAAAGTGACATACAGATTCAATGAAATCAATACCAAATTCTAATAACCTTTTGCATAAACACAAAAATGTGCTACAATGTTTACAAGACAGGTAAAATTATTTTAAAACTAAAGTAACAGTTACACAAAGCAAGACATCTGGAAGACACTGCATTACAGACTTTTAAATTTAGTGAATATTTATTATGTGATGCATTTCAAATTGTCAAAAAGATACAGTGTTACTCAGCTTTATAATATCTCTATTTTTATGTATGACTCTCATTCCTTAAAAGTATTCAGTTAATCTACATGTGCCTTCTGAATCTCTGGCACCAGCCTTCACTACTCTTCTGCCCTCTACACCTGAATATCTCCACTTCTATTATATGTATGACAAAAAAGAATCGTATCGCTCACAAAGATCAAACTCACTTTCCTGAGTCAGAACACTTGGTCTGAGCAAGTTTCCTACCCAACTGAAGGACATTCACAAACTACAAGCCCATATTACTCTTTCCTCCCTTGAATTCTGACAAAACTACATCGACATCTTTCATCACACACTCTATGAAAATTTAAATTGCCTCTTTTAAAAATTATTTCTTTCTTCCTACAGACTTTGAATGCCACCAAACCAAGAGCCAATTTTCATTTTTATAGTTTAACTGTAAATGCCAGTCAGTCAGTAAGTATCTGAACTGAACATATCTAGTTTTAGATAATTATTTCTTTTCGTTGCTTAAAATTATAAAGTCAAACAGACTTGTGCCTCCAACTAAACCCATCCCTTCTACTACTACACTAGACTGCCGCCAATAGCACCTCCCTTTGTCACTTCCCACACACACCCATTAAGTAAGGCAGGAGCCCCAACTTGTGCCACCAACCTCATCTGCCTTCACAGATAGCCCTTGCTTGCCCTGATTCTAGATGGGAAACCTACACTCCTCTCCAACTGCAGTCCATCCACCCCAACTAGCGCCCTCCTCCCAGTACAGACCCAAACAAAATGCACCAGGACCCAGCCTGGTGAAGACACCAGATCCTTCCCTCTATGCAGGCTCTCAACCCCCAGTACCAGGTCACACATCCAGTGCCCTGGGCTAGTTTGGTTAGTCTCACCCACACCACCATAACCTCCAGGCTTAGACCAGCAGGCAAATGCTATGCACCAGTATAGGCCCCTATGTCCACTCAACTTCACACCATCCACATTATCTCCAATTTTCAGGTCCAATCTGACTCACATAAACTGAGCTCTATTCCAATTTATTGTGTCCATATCACGCACAAAATCAACATCAACAACAACAACAACAAAAAAGTCCACATGCCCAGGTCTCATCAGAAAAATACAAACAATATAAAAGAGAAAGATAGTACCACCCACCCACCCCCAAAAATAATCCACAAATCCTATAAAAATGTTCTCCAAATACATTTACGTAGATGAACCCCAGGACACAGAATGTTTTTTAATTTCATAAACTTAATCAAAGAGTTTGAAGATGACAAAAAGAAACAATGAACTAAGAGAGAATGAACTTAGAATAAATGCATAAGTAATACTCATGAAAACACAAGCATAACATTGAATGAAGGGATAGAGATAATCCAGGATTGTCCAAAGAGAACTCATGATGAAAGGAAAGTAGACCAATTCAACATTCCAGTTAGAAAGCTCAAGTCTTATAAGTAGAATGGATCAAGTAGATGATAATTAGAACTTGAAGACAGAGTAGAGGAATTAGAGCATATAAAGCAAATATATAAATAATATATTAAAAATTAACACACGAAAGGAACAAGCAGGAACTGTAAAACATAATAAAAAGATCAAATCTTCAAATTATAAGCATATTTAAGGGAGAAGAAGCCCATGTTAATGGCACAGACCAGATCTTCAACAAGGTTGTACAAGAAATATTAATTAGACAGAAATATCCATATCGATACAAAAAAGCTCATACTGTACACCAAGAGCATAATATAAACTCCCCATAACATGACAATTAAACTACTGAACACACAGAACAAAGAAAAAGTTCTGAAAGTTGTAAAAAAAAAAATTTTTAAGTCAAATATAATGGAAAATCCACCAGAATAACCACTAATTCCCAGGTGCAAACTTTGATAGAACTGCGTAGAGTCAAGTTCTAAAAGACCATGACTGCCAACCTGAACTATTGTACGCAGCAAAACCATCTGACATGGTGAAAGAGAAAGAAAAGGTCTCCATGATCCAAAGGGGCTGTAAGAATTCATATTCAGCAGACCAACCTTTAAAAAAATGCAAGAAGTAATACACTGGACTAAAGAAGAAATAAGCAGAGGCAAGAGACTATATATAAAAATACATATGAAAAACACAAATGAAACTATAACTACCAAAAACACAAAGGACGACTGAGAACACAAGAAAAAAACCAGTACCAAAATGATTGTACAACAAATCTTTCCACAAAAAAACTAAATACTAATGGCCTCAATTATCCAATCAAAAGACACAAGCTATCTGAATAAATTAAAAAACAAAATCCATCTGTTCTTGTTCTCTACAAGAAACTCAGCTTTAAAGATAGGCACTAACTTAAACGAAAAGATAGAAAAAGTACTCCAATCAAATGGGAACAGGAAGGAAGTAGGCAATGTTATCCTACTATCTGACAAAATAAGACTTCAACCTCAAACAAATCAGAAAAGATTCATTCTAATCAAAGAAACAATTAACCAAAAAGGCATTACAATATTAGACATATATAAACCAAACTCTAGCGCACCCAAACATCTTACTGTTAGAATTAAAGACATATATGAACATCAACCCTTTAATACTGTGGTTTCAATACCCTACTTTCTTCAATAAATAAGTCATCTGAACAAAAACAAAACAAAAAAAATGGAGAAACAGATATTACCAAGTACACACAAAAGATATCTACAGAATATTCCACCTAACCACCAGAAAATACGTATTCTACTCAGAAGTTTCAATAAAATAGACCACATCCTGAGATATAAAACAAATTTTTAGAAATTCAAAACACCAGAAATAATTTGAGATATATGTATATACATGTATATCGCAAATCTGACCATTATGCAAATAGAACTTAACATAGCAAACAAATCTCTAGTAATTACAAAAATACATGGAGATTAAACAATCAATGAATGACGAATGGGTCAAAATAATACATAAAGCAAAGAGTTAAAACAACCCATTCAAGAAACAGGCTATGAATTTAAACAGTTTTCAAAGGAAGAAAAGCAAGGTTGGAGGAAGGAAAAAGGAGGGAGAGGAATGATGTAATTATATTTCAGTTTCAAATTCTGTGAAAAATATGTACTCCCAATTCTCATTAGACATGCTGATGAATATTATACACAGTCAACAAAACTGCTGAGCTGGTCAACAAAAACTGCTTTCAAAATCATTCCCCAGACCTGGCCTGTGCTGCTCAGTACTATAGGCAGTTGCTTTTCTCTAGCACCCTTGACCATGGGCAATGATGTAGCCGATGGAGAGGCAGCACAACAAGATAACTAGAAACCATTATTTCTCCTCCTCTTTTCCCAATTTCCTGTGGGATCCCACCTGACACTCTCTTCCAGAACTCCAGTCAGACTACTTAGCCCTCTGATGCACTAGCTTCTGCCATACAACCATACTGTGACAGTTAGTTTTAAATGTCAACTTGCCACAACCTAGAATCACCTAGGAAGATAATTTAAATGAGGAAATCTCTAGATCAAACAGGTCTGTGGGCATGCCTATTGGGTGTGGTCTTGTTAAAAAACTTAGGAAGACCCAGCCTGGGGGTGGCACTGTTCATCCACTGGACCCTGAACTGTAGAAGAGTAAAGAAATCTAGCTGAATATCAACATAAGAACACAGGCAGAGCAGGTGCACTCATTCCTCTCTGTGCTTGACTTGTGATGTAACTACTACTTGTGATAACTACTACTGACTTCCTACTCTAATTTAAGCCAAATAAATTTGATGTCTTATCACAGCAACAACAACAAAAACAATTAAACTAGAACATCCAACATGCTTTGTTTTTTTCCGCCCTAAGCCCTGACAATATTCAGACAATACTACTTGTTCTCACAGCAGCCCCTAACCTAACGGGAGTGTGGTCACTTCTTTCTATGGCAAATATCTCGGCTGCTCATAGACCCCTGATTTGGTTCCTGACCAACTCCATTACCAGTGAAATTAGTTGTTGGATTAACTCTCCTCTGTTGAATAACCTCCTAAGGTTACTATTTTCTAGAAAAGTGAATTATCCACTGGGCATGCTGCCCCAAGCCTGTAATCTCAGCACTTGGAAATCTGAGGAGGGAAGAGTGCCACAAGTGTGAGGCCAGCCTGGGTTACACAGTGAAGACCAGGCTACCAAAGCTACACAGAACCCATCTCTGGAAACTAACAAACAAAAAAGAATGTATTGAATATATTTCAGCATAGTAAAATATTAAAAACTTTCAAGTGAAGACAACTTATTATACAAAAACATTCTGAACTCAGATACAGAGAAAATCATCCCTTAAATTCTTAAAAGTAAAAATAAAAAAATCTAACACTTTCTTCATAGTAAATTCTTTCTCATTGGGATAAAGTCTTTCCTCAGCTGCAATATCTGCCTGAATTAAATCAATCATGTACAATAAAAATGTCACTTTTTTGAGACTTACTTAGTAGAGGGGAAAATTGGAAAGATTATGGGATTTGGAGTCACTGCAGGCCAAGACATCTGTTCAGAGGGAAAAAAATGTTAAGGACCTCCTGTCACTAACTTATCATTCAAATCCATAAAACTCAGGACTTTTTTTTAAAAAAAACTCGGCACTTTTAAAAGATAAATCAAACTAGACTATCCAGTTAAGCTATAGGTTTATCCAAACATACTTCAACACATTTGTTTAAGATTATAAAATAGCAAAGTAAAAAAGAATCAACTTAAGCATATGAAATAAAAGCATAATCTGTAAGTGATTCAAAGCTAACAACAGATTACAAAAAAAGGCTTCTCCATTCTTTTTTCAGTAATTATTACAAAAAAAAAATCCTAGTAGAACAAAAGTGATAAAATAATTCACTCTCTGCTCATACTGTAGTTCCAGAACAGGGCCGTTCCATAGCAAGAAGAACATGTATTATTTTTCTTCTAGGTAAATAGCATTTCTTAATCTCTGAATGCATGGTCTTGATCTTTACAAAACAGCATTTTTAAATCCCATTAACGTACAATTAAGATTAACGATCAATTTAAGATTACAGACACTAAAAGAATGAGAAATGTAAAGAAACAGGGCCTAATATTATTAACAAGTGTCTGCTGAGTGTAAAATTCTAGACATTTATATAAACCACTTAGCTTATTTTAAACTTTATGAGATTATTTCATGAAAAGGTTACACAAATTTTCCAAACTAGCTTACCAACAAAAGAACAGAAGTAGAATTTCAGCTCAGTAGCGTCTAGGTCTAGACTGTAATCCCATTAACAATTCTCCCTTCTTTTCTCCAGAATAAGATGCCCTACGGGTAAATCAAAATAAAAATAAAACATTTTTTACAAAAACAACTTGAGTCCCTATTTAATCTTTCAATATCAAGTTTTCAACATTTCAATAAAAAAATAACAAATAGTTCTAGTTTAAATCACAGCTATACAAGTCTATGTTCAGGTTCTATAAGTAAACAAACTATAAAGATCTAGCATGTAAAATTCCTAAGTGGTTCCCAATTAATTATAAACTTATCAATAAAGACTCAAAAATGAGATCACCATCCTGAGCCACCATATTACAGACTTCTGTCCTGGCTCTTCCTAGACAGTTGTTCTTCTAGTTGGCGCATATCTGAAAACAGAGTGAATGCTGCCTACTGTCCTCCATCAAAATTTTCACATCTGCTTTCTAGTAGCTACATGAGCACCAATATTTTCCAAACCACTCCTTTTCAAACAACAAAAACAAAAAATAATCCCACTTTAAGGAATAAATGGTGTATTACAACCATGTACACATTCCATAATTGAAACAAAAATTCCGTAATAATCTCACTTATATTGATTGTACATGATGCGCTTGATATTTTCTATTTCTTAATACTAGCAGCAGTCCACAAGGCTGATCTCTGAAATACTAACCTACAATTAGAACGTTGCTCTAGTTTTAACCCCACTAAGGAAATACAGATAAAACGTGTTTTTCGTTCTTCCACAAAGTGAAGGAGGTAAAAGACAAGGAGAGGCAGGAATAACTCTTATCAAGCACATCAGCTCTCCCAACACAAAAGATCCAAAATTAATCACTTTAACTGTTTTAATTGTTTACAACTCCATGTATCCATAATGTCACTACCATTATCAGATGTTAATCTTTCTCAAACAAAAATGGTACATATTTATATATACCAACTAAATAATTTCCAATGTTTATTTTAGGCAACTCTTCACTGTTTTTAATTAGGCTATTCTGTAATCATATACAAATGAAGTAAAAACAGAATACTGAATCCATACAGACAACTGGGCAAGACTCAACAAATTATGAAATTTTGCAATGTCTAATCACAAAAAATTCCTGTTTTTTCACCCATAAAGACATTAAAAGGAAAACTACAGATCCTTACCATCTAATCAAAAAGGCATTATTATAACAGTATCAACAATAATTTGTCATCCTCAAATGTTTTTTTTCTTTCTTTCTTTTTTTTTATTTTTATTTTTTTATGAGACCGAGTTTCATTATATAGCCCTTGTTGGCTTGAAACTCATTATGTAGAGCAGGCTGGCCTCTATCTCATAGGGATTAGTTTGTTTCTGCCTCCTAAGTGCTGGATTATGCAACCATCACCATGCTATACAATTCTAGAAATATAATCAAACTATAAAAAAAAAGAGTGCTGTCATGAAATTTTCAGTGATTAAATACTGCAATGACTTTTAAATAATTTCTTAAACTGATTTTATAATGGAGTATTACTCAACACAAAAAGAACTACAGTGTTCAAATGAAAGTTTTACAGATTTCTTCAGTAGCACCTGTATGGTAAAGCCACTGACGACAGAATATTGTTTTCCACTAAAGCTCCAATATTACGTATTAGTATATGTCAAAAAATAGGGTGCTTTCTCAGCAGAACATCATAAAAATAATGCAGAAATGCTTATGAGTATCATCCTACATAACCAGTCATGAATAAGGTCTATTAGAAATGTCTATTTCTGATGTAGTATAATTTTAATATGCTTTTGTTTGACCTAAATATGTTAATAGTTAATACAAAGATATAACTTAACCACCCCCAAAGAATAATACTGGTTTTTACAAAACAGTTAAACTAAAACTATGAAGATACATGAAAAATCTTACAAGCAGTAATTTCTCAAGCTTCAGTCCATTCTAATGATCTATTCACATTGAAAGAATTACCCTAGCCAGATATAAAAGCACCACTATTCACATTGACACAGAGAATGACAGAAAAACAGAGCTGAGGGAAAGTAATATATTAATTTGTAATAAAACATATAACTATTCAACTTAAAATATCATTCATGGGTTGGCCTCCCTACTTTTTCCATAGTTCAAGTATGTTAAGGATCAATGGTTAGTTCTTATTGCCCTTACTAGCCAAATGGAAAGCTAGTAATTTGATTTAATCCTCAACCTAAATATTAAAATAACAAATATAAAGTGAGAAATACTAAGAAATTTAATCAATAGCCCAAAACTAAGCTTTGGGATAAAAGTATAGGGGAAAAGCCTAACTGAAATATGTATGAGGGTGAAGGAGGGGCAGACGCAGGTTGGATAAGAAGGGCTAAAAAGCTTCCCAAGTAAAACAGTGACGAAAGAAACATAAAAGATTGGAACAGCCAAAATGTCCTAACAAGTGCAAGCGCAATACAATTTCACAAGTACATCTTATTCATCTTACTCAGATAAAAAATAAACATTGAGGTTTTTCATTTTAGAAGAGAACAGAGGAAGTAAAAAAGTGACAATTTTTTAAATAAACATAAAGCTCATAATCAACAATACTAAAAAACTCAATTTACTTTCTAAATAACAATTGCTAATAATAATTTACTATTATACAACTATACAAGGAAATTATACAAGATAATTAAGATTTGCAAGGATACACCAGGCAGCCAGAATCCCACTTAGTATTAGCTACGTAAACCAGGAGTGATTTACCCTTCCAGCTTGTTTCCTTAAAAGTCATGAAGATAAAGTGAGTTCAGATATGTAATGAGTTTAGAAGACAAAGAAGCAAAATAAAGTATTAACTAAAACTAAGACTATAAAAATTATGGGACTGGGCATAGTTGCTACTTCCATAAAGTTCTTTAAAACTTAACTTGCACAAGGGCTCTACGTTCCTTGTACCGTAAAAATGAAAGTACAACCATTTTATGTATGTAAAGCATAAGAAGTTACATAAGCTACTTTAAAATCTTTCATTTACATTATAAAAATTACGTGAAGAAAAAAAAACTGAATCCAGTTAGGACACCCTTTGTGTGGATTTCAACTGCTTAAAAAAAACATGCTTCAAATCTCAAAACCACACTACCCAATTGAGGCTACACTTGAAGAAATCAGACACAATGCTTTTGCCAATAAAAGAAACTTTCATCCAACATTACATTTGGACTCAAGATTCTAATCCTATTCCTTAAACTCAACGCACTGAGAAGCAATTCTTTCAAGTACACCAAACTATTACAGTGAAACACACACATACACAAAAAAAAAAAAAAAAAAAAAAAAAAAAGTGATGTAGGCACCGCACAGCATACATAATATGGAATCTGTACTTCTTTTCCTTCCCCTGGAACCCACAGTTGGCTCACTTCTTTAAGTCCCGTAGCAAACGTTCTGTTACTGCATCCTGCCATTTCAACCTTCATAGATCAGGCCATCTCTTCATTTGGGGTGGAGTATTATAAGAAATAATATACCTTTAAAGACAGATAACTTCGTTTCTACATAAAAAAAAAAAAAAAAAAAAAGCTATCTACATCTTTCGTACTGAACAAGGCCTTGTCCAGGGCCACATGAGAAATGCAGAATAACAAGCTGTTCTCAGTATCACATCCACTAAATTAGTGCTCTCTATCACACTGCTGCATTCCTTTACATTCAAATTCAGGATAAGATATGGACAGCAAGACCGGGAATCCGACAAAGAGAAAAATAAATAATGTAAAAATGAATTAACTTTGCCACTATATTCAAAGATTTCTTTCAATAGTGCCAACATCCTTGATGAATCCGGTGCAACAAACACAGCACTGGTAAGTGTTGGTTTATATTTTGATGTACAAAAGCCCTAACACTTCTGCACAATCCACCCCAGTCAGTAAATGTAACCTGCATGTTAAGAGTTTCAGAATTCGGTCCAATTCAGAATTGAGAAATGAGACTCTGCAGAAAGTGATGGGGGCGAGAGGAGGGGCTTATAAAAAATGTAAACGTCAAAAACAGCTGTCATCCTCGAAAGCCAAATTAGTTAATAACTAATCCTGGAGCTCAAACTATGACTAACTAGTATTGATCAAAGTCTAGGTCGCGTCTGCACAGACTGGTTTTTTGGAAGAATGGTACATTTCCAGGGAAAAAGAGAGAGAGAGGAGGGGCAACTTTTTTCGTAGTTTCACTCGGGTCCTGGCAGGCCTCGAACTGGTGTGGATAACTTAGGCAGCACTACCAGGACGGCAGGCGGAGGAATTGGTCTCCTCGGAGGCGGCCCGGCTGAGCGCTCGCCCGGGCGGCTTCACTTCCGGCCTGTGGAGGAAACGTGCTGCCAGGGCCGAAACAGACAGGGGGACCGGCCACCGGGAAGCAGGGCCCGCCGGGCCGCCCGGCCTGCCCGGGCCACGGCCCGGACCTCCGGAGCCACGCGGGCCGGGGACGAGCGGGCTGAGGGGCCGCCTCGCCGGCGCGCGCGCCCGCCCGCAGCGGACGGAGCCACCGCCCGCCTTCCTCCCCGGCCCGCGAGCAGCCCGCGGCCGGCCCGGGCCTCAGCGAGGCCGGGAGGGGCGACGGCGTGAGCGGCAGGCCGGCCGGCCGGGGAGGCTGACGGGGGAGGCGAGGCGCCGGTTCTCCGGGCTTGTTCGTTTGTGTTTACCTGTGGCGCGGCAGGGCTCCCCAGCTCCTACTCCCTGAATCCTCCTCCCCTCCTTTCTCTCTGTCTGTCTCTGTCTGTCTGTCTCTCTCGCTCTCTCTCTCCCCGTCAGTCTGCCGGGCTCTCGTGGAACCTGCCGGCCCGGCCCGACTGGCCAGAGGACGGGGCGGGAGGTGGCGGCGGTGACCAGCGGCCACGTGACCACGCTCGCGCCGTAACGGCGTCCTCCTCCCGCCGCGCGCCCTCCCGCCGCTCCACCTCTGCTAACCCCGCGCGCCCGGGGGGCGGGGCCGTGCGCAGGCGCGCGCCCGGGGCCTGGGCCGTGCCGCCGGCTGACCCGCTAGCGCCGGGGGCCCGGGGGGCCGCGGAGGAGGCACCCGGGAGGAGGTGCCCGGGCCGGGGAGGCGAGCCAGGCCGCCGGAGGCTGGGCCGGGGCCGCGCGGGGCGCATGCGCGCGGGCCTCGGCTCGGGCCTCTCCGCCGCCCTCGGCTGCAGCCTCCCGTCCCCGCGCGCCGCCGCCGCTCCCCGCTGGCGGCCAGGAGAGAAGTCAGCCCCCGCCAGCGTCCCGGGAATCTGGCAGTCCTGCCTGGGGACTCCCAATTTCCTCGTCACCTGTAAATGGCCTCCCTTCCGCCAGTGGTCTACAGCGGTACAGACTGCTGCTGTATGGAGGCACTCTTCAGCATTTTAAGAACCCAGAGAGAGGTGTTGCTTTTCTAGCAAGCCCACGCCCGGGTAAAACCACACTGGTTTATTCTTCTCATACTTTGAGTCTAACGACTGACAGCTTTGACCCCTGCTTAATCATGACTTGGGCCTCCAGCACTGGGATGCTGGTGTTCTGTTGTTTTGTTTTCTCCAGTAGGAAAGCGTTTGGAGTAATAATGTGAAGTGCACTGGTAAATATCTCCTCTAGGTTTGTTTTTTTTTTTTTTAATCATCTCTTTTATTAGTCTATCTTTACAGAATGCTCAAAAGGAAGAAACTAAAGCAAGGGAAGGTCAGAAACTTAGCTTCCAAAGAAGTATACCACACTTAAGATACTTAAGATGGGGATTCCCCTTTTTTCTAGTGCCCGTCTTACTGTAGCAGTAGCTAAACAGGTTGAATGGGCTAAGTGTCTCAGGCTAGATTTAATCAGTACTGGTAAATAAAATGTTAAAAAAATAAAGAATCCTTGAAAGTTCTGGATAAACTCATCATTACATTAGACTGATGAATTCTGAGGGTAGAGAGACAGGCCTAGCAACAGAATCCTAAGAAATGTGAGGAATTGATCTTTTCCCAGCTAGCAATACAGTAGTCAGCCAAGTGACTGGTATTCAACAGTGTATGATGGACTTTCTTCTCCAGCACCAACATGTCTCACCCCAGACCTCATCTCCTTCCCGAAGGACTGAGGTTCTTCCATGTTGCTGGTGTTGATGGAATTGTAGTTACCTCTGTGTGGTCTTTCGTGCTCTTTAATCACTTCCCCCTGGTCTGTCGACCTTGCCAGCCTACAGAGGAAGAGGATCCAGGCAGCTGGTCACCAAATGACAGGAAAATTTGTATTCCCTCTTGAGGTTCCTAGTCTCATTAACATAGTTTAAGAAAGGACTGAACCAAAACTCAAGGTCAATTTTATTAGAGATTAAAAGAAAAATTCAAAGAACAGCAAGCTGCAAACCTTTGCTGCTTCTCAGAGGATGGAGAGAAGGAAAACAGCATGCCATTTGTGGTGATTGGAATAAGAATGGCCCCCCATAGGCTCACCAGAGAGAATGGAAGTGATAGGATTAGAAGGATTAGAAGGTATGGCTTTGTTAAAGGCAGTGTGATTTGAGGTTTCAAAAACTCACACCAGGCCCGAAATCTCTCTCAGCCTGCAGATCAGGATGTAGCTCTTAACTGCTTCTCCCATACCATGTCCACCCACATGTCGCCATGCTCCTCGCCATGATGATAATGGACTAAAGTGACACATGAAGCAAGTGGCCAGTGTTTTATAAGAGTTGCCCTGGTTGTGGTGTCTCTTGACAGGAATGTAACAATGAGTAAGACACCATTGAAGCTGGCTCAGAAGGCAGATACATGGCCAACAAGCAACTGCATGGTAGGGAAGGAAGCTTTACAAGAAGAAAGAAAGCCCAAAATGTTGGGCAGGAACTCCCAGAGTGTTAAGAAAAGCATTCTTAGGAAGAGATTGAATAGCAGGCTGACTTACTAGCTACACAACTGCAACCCTCCATGGGGGATTAGAATTCTAGGTAGGAGAAAGGACAGGATCTCATTGAAGAGCTACTCACCCCCCCATCTCTCTAATTTAAGTGAGTCCATTGTTCTAAGGGTAGCTCCTTGGCCAAGTGTTAAGGCCCCAGTCCAACTGGAATATTAGGTCTCCAGGTCTGAGAGAGCATTGTCTTGTGGGGAGTTTTTTACTCTAAGACTAGAAGAGTCAAAAGTGGCACCTAGCTTGCCTATGAGAGCCCAGTCTATAGATCACCATGAAAAGACAGAGAACAGGTTCTTAGGTTCAGGCTCCAGTGCTTTAAGGGGAAACCAAACCAAACCAAACTGATGACTAATAATTCCATAAAATATGAACATGTTATAAAATTCACTTAGAGTTATACTACTTATAATACAATTCACATGCTTTGGGTGGGAGAGTTACATTTTAAATCAACATCTCAGCATTATTAGAGAAACAGCCATAGCTAGGGTAACACAACTTGAAGCACAAAGAAATGCAAATCTTTAGGAACAGTAGATACTATAGGAACAGCCCTTGACTATAACTGTCTTTGTTTGTTTGTTTGTTGTTTTGGTGGTTGTTTGGTTTTCTGTTTTTGTTTGGGGGGGTGGGTTTGTGGGTGTTTGTTTGTTTGTTTTTAAGACAGGGCTTCTCTGTGTAGCCTGGTTATCCTGGAACTCACTCTGTAGACCAGGCTGGCCTCAAATTCATAGAGATCTGCCTGCCTCTGAGCATTGTGATTAATGGTGTGTGCCACCACCACCTGGCTTCTAAATTTCTGTCTTTGTGAACACTCAACTTCATCCACTCAAGCTAGGCTAACATGATAATAAAATATAAGTCCTACTGTATGACATTGTCCACTGGAAAGTAAGAGGATCACGGCTTTCACTTTTAAATTTTTTATCATTGTTGCTGTTTCTACTATAACATTTTGATGTGTTCAGTCCCATTTTGGTTTTCTTGCTCCTCTGAGGACCTGAAACAAAAAAGTCCTATTTCATCCTCTGCCCCATTGTCACACTATGGCTATAGGATGCAGGTTTGGCTCTAGAAAAATCTTAACTTTTATTCTAGTCATAGAAAACAAAATTGACATTATTTTTTAAAATGCCTACCAAAAAAATGAAAAAAGAAAATGCTGAAAGCAGAGATCAATTTGTATGTGGTGTCTGCATACCTATGCGTGAGAGACTTCTGGCTCCTCCCCCTTCCAAATCTATTTTTCTCTTTTTCTATTGGATTGAGTTTCAGCTGGGAACACAGCCATCCATCTGGAGGCTACATTTTCTGTTCCCCCTTGTGGCTGGGTGTGTCTATGTGACTCCATTTTCGTTCGTGGAATGCTAGAGGGAGCAATGTGTTCATTTTCTATATTATTTGCTTTACAAAAAAAAAAAAATGTTCACCATACAATGTTTCTCCTCTCTATTCCTGCTGTAAACTCTGTTCCAGAAAAACAGACATAGTGACCTAGCTATCAGGATGCACAGCCTCGCAGAGCAACCATACAGCTTCTGGGGCTCTGGATTACTCCATGGAAAACTACCCAATGTTGACTGCCTGCACCACTTTAATTAGAGAGATAAATGCATAACTTATTTAAGCCACTGAATTTTTTATTAAAGTTTTTTATTATATAAGGTATTGTTGATAAGTAAGTTGCTAGGTGCAGAATCTTACGAAAAATTGTCTAGTTTATCTTTTAAAGCATAAAAATATAAATGCATTTTCTCCCAGAAGAAATGATGTTGCATTTATAGATACCTGAGGTTAAATGCCTTAATACTATAAAGAATCCACTTTACATCATTATAAACAACACAGCTCATATTATCAGCTTGTACCTTCATTATGTTCGCCTCATTCTGTTTTGAGTGGCTACTTAAAAGGTCTGAGATTCTACAATCTAAGATCTTTTCAGAGGCAAGCAATGTGTCGTATTTACCACTAGCCTTTTAGCACTTTAAGAAATTTCTTGTATTGCATGGAGTTGGTTGGTTGGTTGGTTAGTTTTTGATACAGTGTTCCCCTATATGGCCCAGGCTGGACTCAGTCTTTCTACTAGGGCATCCAAGTTGCTATAATCAATAAATAACTGAAACAAATAAAAATAAATATGTACCACATTATAGAAATCATCAACTTGCTACATGATTAAACAGAGTATTATTATGTGATGAAAAGTACCAGATTAACATAAATTTAACCTCTTAAACCAGCATACATTTCTAAATTCACAGCTCCTGTAGGTCAAGAGTACATGGTTTGACTAGGTTCTTTGCTTGCAGGTGTCTCTGCGTGTTTATAATCAAGTTGTTAACTGCAGTTGCAGTCTATATGTTCGCAGGTGGCAAAAGTGAGTCACTTGACAGTTTTAGAACTGAGAGCCTCAATCTCTAATTGTGAACTGGAGGCTGCTCACAGATTTTGCCATGTGAACCTTACCACACAGAAGCTTGTTTCATTCAATTGGAACGCATACACACACAAAACATTTCCACTCAGCATTACAACATGTTCTTTGTTAGAAAGCATGGCTTAAGAAGAAGGTAGTAGAGCTAGAGTGATGGCTCAAAGGTTAAGAGCACTGGCTGTTCTTCCAAAGGTCCTGAGTTCAATTCCTAGCTATCACATAGTGGCTCACAACCATCTATAATGAGATCTGGTGCCCTCTTCTGGCATGCAGGCACACATGCAGGACAGGACACTGTATACATAATAAATAAATCTTTAAAAAAAGAAAAGAAAAAGCTGGGCACAGTGGCACATGCCTTTAATCCCAACACTCAGGAAGATCTGGCCTACAAAATGAGTCCTGGACAGCCAAGGCTAGAGAAAAACCTGTCTGGGAAAAAAAAAAAAAAGGAGGAAGAGAAGCTAGTACACAGGCATGCATTGTCAAAACACAAGAAAAAAAAGCTGCCCTTAAGTCTGTCTGGCAATGATACAAGCACATATTTTTAAAAAA